ACAGTAGCGATACATACGGCCTCGGGTTTAAAATTACAAAGTGTCAACAGAAGCCATTCCATGCGATATTTCAAGCTAAAAAATGCTAATGCTTCATCAGAATAATATAGATCATGTAAGAAACGTTAAATACCTTAAGCAGCTGCGTTATACCTGTATAAGCATAATTTTTATAACACAAAAATAGGGGATTCTGCCACCACCACCCCCTCCCTGAATACGTGCGTAAGCTACAAAGATGAACACAATACTCACCACGACAACCATAATTTTCTCCAGTAAAATCAAAATCTTCATCTTTTTTCTGAAACGAGCGAATCATCTTTTGGAACGGAATAGAAGTAGTTGTTTAGTTTCGTAACGACAAGCTCACTCTTGGGCTTTCTCGTATTCCAATCTCACTATTCTGGTCGCCAATGGAAAGACTGGTTTTCTTGGACTTGTCGATGGTAAAATCGTGATGTCGATAATGTATTGATAGTCGTAGGGGAAGGTTTAGTTGGGCTTCTTGCTGGGGTCTCGATTATAAGAAGGTATGTCTCATGATGTATCTTTAAAATGAACGTAATACATGATAATCTATCGATACGCTTACACTAAAAGTAATTAATCACATCCCACTTTGCTGTACTCGTACGCATTTCGTCCCTTATTGATGGTTTAAGATTAAATAGTATCTAATATTTTTTAAAAACTTTGAAATTGAAGTGATTTGCAATACATACTTAACTTAGTGGTAATAAATCGCTTGATGGTATAACTATTATAACTTGAGAAATAAACTCTATAACGTTTAACATACTCCCTGTACGAAACATAACATTACATGCACTATAGCTTGTATTACAATCAACATGGTTTGCCCACTAAAAATAATGGCAGTATGTTAGAGAAAGGAAGTCTAGAAGAAGAAAAAAATTAATTAAGTAAAACACAGCGAATCAAATAAAAAGAGTGGTTCTTTCGTCAATTTCGGATATTTTTTTTTCAAACACAACACAACAAGTTTTGAATATATTTTTATTTTAGATAAGTAAGCCTTTGTATTAGAACAAAGCCACATTGAGTTGTCTGCTCTGTCTACGCCAGGGAATCGAACCCCAAAATGTAGTGTTGTAAGTCCTTAGACTTATCGCTTTTCCTCTGGGTGACATAAAAAGAGTATAATGAGTTTTCTAAATACTTGTAAATTAATTCATATAATTTTAATGCGACCGAAACGTGGTAGGTAAGTCTTGTGATCAAAAAATTTGCTGTACCACTGTTTTTATACAAAAATAAAACATTAAAGAATGACACAGGTTTTCACCACGCTTATAATACATTTTAGCAACAAGCTTTTTAGAGCTACAATGCAGCTGTCTTTGTTTGTTTGTAATTAAGCATAAAGCTACACAATGGGCTATCTGTGCTCTGCCCACCACGGGTATCGAAAACCCGAATTCTAGCGTTGTAAGTCCGCAGACATACCGCTGTGCCACTGGAGGGGGGGGGGCTGCAGCTGTCTCCGGGCTTGTTTGTAAAGCTTGTTATAAATAAAAACTATTAAGGTTGAGTAGTTCTGTATTATTTTTGTTTTAATTTTCAAGCTAACGTTATGTAAAAATTAATGACAAGTACAAATATCTAGTCAACGCAGTGAAAAATAAGAAAAATTATAATTATTGCAAACAGTTAGTAATCATACAGAAATTTATGTTACCGAATACTGCACCTTACATTTATTCATTTTTATAACGATTTTTCGAAGTTACATAACTGAATGTTATTTGAAAAATTTCGACGCGGTTGGATAATAAAGTACGTATATATGTTTTAAATAATGATATTTCCGTTTACCAAATGTGTGAGTTGCAAAAAAAAATCAATTAACATCTTTCTTCGTCAACCTAATTTTTGATTCTTCATATGCTATATGCTGAATGAAATGCCTGGCCCAAGTACGTTTGTTAGTTAACTTTTAAAATATGAACAAAGATTAAAAATAACCTTCTTGGGGTACATACAAAATATCATTATCAACTGACTACCATCACTGAACCGCTAAATAATTTTTAAGGCCTACTATCCACAAAATATGGAAGTTTCACGAATATCGCTTTATGCTTTTAACCGTTCCAACGTGCATCTGTAGATAACTCTTTAGTAAAGGATTCCCACAACTTATTTCTTTTCTCCTCCATAGCTTATAGTTTTATTTTTCAAGTCCACTGAATATGCGTCATCTATTTGTTCTTTTCCAGGTTCATAATCATAAATAAAACTAAGATTTTTGCTACTCATGTAGATCAGTCAAAGTGGAAAAGACACATCACATATATATTTAATTTCAGTTATAATGATACCATTCCACTATTTTCAACCCGGTAGTTTTAGGGGCTTATAGCTCTAAATATTGGGTTTCTTATACCCGCGGTGGTCAGAGCACAAATAGCTCTTTGTGTAGCTTTATGCTTGACAACAAACAAATCATTTCAATGTGATGGGATAATAATGCATTCAATAAATAAACATAAAAAAACATCAATAAGTAAATTCAAAATTCTTTTTTTTTTTTTGTCATTATATCAAATCATTATTGTCATTGGAGTGTCTCTTATGTCCTTTGTACTGCTGCCACGTCATCTGTTTCATATGCTTGCTTTCTAGCCTCAGAACGGCCCCGGTGGCTCAGTGGTAAATATGAAGGCTTATAACCCTAAAAACTGGTTTTCGATACTCGTGGTGGGCAAGATACAGATAGCCCATTGTGTAGCTTTGCGCTTAACAACAAACAAACAAGCAAACACTGTAACAAAAAAGTATTATTGAGTACATATATTAAAAAAATCAGTTGTAAAAAGAGAGATGATATATATATGTTCGTGCTTGTTCCTTGGTAGGTCATCAGTAAGTTTGTGGACTTACAATGCTAAGATTCGGGGTTCGATTCTCCGCGATGGACTGAGCGTAAATAGCTCATTGCGAAGCTTCGCGATGAAAACAGCATGTCCGTGTTTTAAATGTATCAATATAATAGCTTTTGATTGATCAATTATATCATTTTGCCACTAAAAAGTTTAAGAACTGTTAAGTTGTTGTATTTATAACAACTGTATTTTCTTTAAGTATCACAATGAGTGTAAATTATCTTACCTGTATTGCCATTCCTTATCTTTATGAAAATTAGTTCATGTAAAACACCTCCAGTCCTGAATTCTTTTGCTTTAACAGATATGTATATCGATGACTTAATTAATGTAAGAAATCTCAAAATTAATCATTATCTCTATAATATCTATCCTTTACATTTACAAATTGATATAAGTACAATTTCTTGCTCTGAAGCACAATCCTTGGATTATGATATTAAAATAATTAATGATGATACTGATATCAATGTATTTGATAAAAGAAGGAATTTTCACTTCCAATTTACGACCTTTTCTGTCTTATTAGTAGGCCCGGCATGGCCAGGTGGTTAGGGCGCTCGATTCGTAATCTGAGGGTCGCGGGTTCGAATCAAACATGCTCGCCCTTTCAGCCTTGAGAGCGTTATAATGTGACGGTCAATCCCACTATTCGTTGGTAAAAGATTTGACGGTGGGTGGTGATAACTATCTGCCTTCCCTCTAGTCTTTCACTGTTAAATTAGGGACGGCTAGCGCAGATACACCTTTTGTGTATCTTTGCGCGAATTTCAAAACAAACTTTAATAGTAGTGTTCCATTACATGTAAGCAAATATATTATATATATATTCATAGTTGCTTGGATTTTGGAGGATCTGTAACAAACTGGGGTATTTTATTTTAATGCCAGTATTTGAGTACAAAAAATTAATGTTTAATAGATTTAATGAACTATAATCAAAAACATTAAAATTGTTTTGAAATAAATATCAAAAAAAAATGTTCTTTGCGGAATTACACAAGAAAATATTTAAAATATTATAACTGAATCTGTTAATAATAGCTTTCACTAAAGTAAAGGTTTATTTATAATTATAAAGTGCTTTCTTCAGAAAAGTAACAAACATATATATACGCGTTATAGGTCATATGTCTAGTCACCTATAAAAATACATCACGCTTATCAATTATTCTTAGTTAATGGTAGAACGGTGTGGGTAGAGGATGAAGTTATAAATGTCGGGAAGATTTTATATATATTTCTGTAACATTATAGTTACGGGTCGTTTTTTACCGTCTCACAAAATTATAGCTTATAATACTAAAACAGGGGCTGGAATGCCAACTAATACTAAAACAGAGGCTGGAATGTCAACATCAGAAAATAAGCTTTACTTATCACCGCCAGCAATTTTTTTTTTCTAGAACACCCACCTTTCCACAACTAGATGCAGACAGCAATAGGTGGTAAGAATGAATGTCGTTGTGGGCCTGAGCAACCGCGTTTTTTGTTTCTTTTTCGTTTATGATGCTGGCGAAGGGAGATTATTCTTGTAGACGGTATATCACCACCTCTATGTAGATCCTACTTCCTCAGAAACCTCCAAAACCAGAGTAAATCTTATATTTTCCCACTTCGTAACTGGTACTCAGGTGTTAAGTCATGTTGCTGCTGTTGCGACTTATTTATCTGGAAAAAGAATTCGTTCCTTGATCTAATAATTATTCATCATCAAAGGTTTGGGTGTGGTTAGGCTGTTTTTAACGCTGCCCTTCCTTTTGATGTAAAATTTTACTTAATTGTATCTCTTGTTTTACATGTATATATATACATATATATATGTAGTATGATACTTAAAACCTAAGTTTGGAACTGTAGAACTACGTCTTGGCATAAAGGTTAAGTCATCACATTTGTCCTACTTCGTTAGTATATTGATATCACCAGCAACAGCACAACATGCTCATTCTGGTTTTAGTCATGAAATTTATTTTGAATATTTCATGGAAAGAAATTAAGTACACGTCAAAAATTATAGGATTTATACTCGTATAATATTTCGTACATCTTATATAGATTATAAAAATGTCAGAAAATCGCAAAAATTTATCATATTTTATTCATGAATGTTCATTTGTTAGCCTTTGTGGTTTTAAAATCTTCAATTGGCTGGGTGATGAATTCTTCATAGTATGGAAGTTCTACCTTCATTTTCTTGATCCACAACTGAATGTTTGAAAATTCTACGAGGTCATAGTCAATCACCTGTAATGGAACCACAGTGTTTTCATTTGAGTGATATGTTTCGGTAAAAAAACAACAACAATCAACTCTAATTCTTAAAACAATGACGCATAGCCTAGTTTTTTAGAACTGTTCTTGAACACGAGTTTCTAAAAAATTGTCTCTAGAAAAATATTTGTTATTGTTTCCAGCCTTTAAGTTATAAACGTAATATACTCCGTTGTATTTCAGTAATATGTTAGTTACTAATAAAGCAGAAAAACACATTTAAAAAATGCCTATGAAACTCTGTAGAACCATGGATATTCGAAAATAAATAATTTTGTTTGAAGTTAAGCACGAAGCTTCACAATGGACTATCTGTGCTCTTCCCACCACGGGTATCGAAATGCAGTTTCTATCGTTGTAAGTCCGCAGACATACCGCTGTGCCACTGGGGGGGTGGGGGGTGGGTGGACTTAAATATCCAGTGCATTGACATCGCTTAGATTTCTAGAATATTAAACGTCTTAACAGAAATACGTTTTTTGACAGTTATCATAAAGAGATAAGATAATTATCGATAGTATGGACTATTTTTACTTAATAAGTTACAGAGAATATTATGAGATGAACTAACTTCAGGAAATGTTATCCCTGCGAGAATAGAGAGGTCAGCAAGAGAAAGGTTTTGTCCAGCTACATAGGGTTGTTTCTGTAAAATATTGTCCAGTATTTTTGCTTTCTGTCTCATAACTTTTTCCTTTTCTTGATCTGGAGGTGCTCCGCGTAGCAACATAGGGAGCTAGACGAAAAGGAAAAAGAGGCGGAGATGTTAAGATACAAAATCTGTAAAATCAAAATGAAAAAATATGTATATAAAAATATTGGTGAGGTCAAATTTTATCTTGTTGGACCAGTAAAAAAATAGATACAATAAATTATATACATTAAAAAATAAGTTAATTTTTGATTAAAAATAAAATCACAATCTTGAAATCGGAATTCAAGTTGGATATATTAACCCACCCCTGGACTTGAAATTTTCAAGCAGGATTATTCTATCCTAATGATTAAGTGCGATTGTTGCTCATATTCATTTTAAACTAAACTAAAACAACAAAATAAAAACTTCTGATCTACATTTGAATAAGAACAACAGAAATAGAAATAAAATAACAATAAATGTTATCAACTATTATACAAACAAGTTAATTCAAAATTGTTAATTTAAAAAGGGGGTTAGGTATCGTAAAAAGAGTACAGAAACAAGTTGAATCAGGATGCAAAGATTATGTTTTCAAGTCTACAACTAGGGACTCTAAAAAGTAAACAAACTAGGCTGGAAATAGAGTTTACATTATTTTTTCAAGCACCAAATCTCTATTTTGATTCCACTAAAATAGTTAGGTACTGTAAACATGGGATCAAAATAGGGGTGTAAAACATGATAAAATAATGTAGACACTATTTCCAATCTAATTTGTTCACTTTTTTTAGAGTCCCTAGTTGTAGGCTTGAAAATACAATTTTTTGTATTTTGATTCAACTTATTTCTGTACGTTTTTTACTATCTCTATTCCACCTTCTTAAAGTAACAATTTTTAATTTTCTTGTTCATTAAATTTTTACGTCCGTTTATGAAGAAAAAAAAAATTAAGCTACATATGTGTATATGCATTCATTCAGTTGAATATTACACGTTTTTCAAACAGTTTAATGCTGCATTGGCTTTATTTCCACCTAACCATTATTTACTGAGCCAGGTGGTCTTGTGCCTGAGATTTCGTGTAAATACGCGTTTAAGAATCGTCGAGTACAAAGGAAGCCGCTCACAACAACACCGTATATATAATGTATGTATAGCCACGTATATTAACATTCAATGAAAAAGAATGAACTTTTTAAATAGATCATGGACATTTACAGCATTTCATATAGTATATCTGTCTAGGTTTTGGTCCAAAATACCCAACTGATTTTGCTTTAGGCTTGTGAAATAAAAATATGAATAATAATAATAAAATACCCGTGGTGGGAAGAGCACAGGTAGCCCATTGTATAGCTTTGTGCATAATTCCAAAACAAACAATAATAAAATAATAATATAATACGCACTCAAACATTCAGTGAAGTACTTAATCAGTAGAATAAGTACTAAGGTAATTATCTACTGTTAGAAAACATGCTGAATAGTCGCAGAAAACCACATAGAGACAAAATACAACAGCGAATTCGAGAAACAATGAAGAATAGCGAATTCGAGAAATGATGATTGCTCAACGTAGCAGTTTCCAATTAATGTGCTATAAGTTTCACAGATTATTTTTCAATTAATGCGCATTAGTAAAGCACCGGATTTTTTCCATGATGGAAAGTGAAAGACATAGAGAAATTCTTCAGGGCGAAAAAACGAAGGCCCTTGAATCAATTTTAAAACTACTACTATGACATACTCAATACTGCATTCATTACTATTGTCCAGGTTTCAATATATATATTCGTAGTCGTTTTTTCTGTAGCAGCTTGTAAAACTATAATCAATAATGATAAGGCTGAAAACACTGTTAAAAATATACACCTTGTTTACTCTAATAAAACGAAGAGTTTCCGACTAGTATAACTCTACTTAAATGGCTTCGAAGAGCTTATATTGCTAGCGAAGAAGTTAGAAAGTTTTAGAGGGTGGAAATCTTGACTTTCAAGAATCAACTTAAAGATAGCCCTACAGCCTTCGCCCGAGTTTGTTTAGTAGCTGTGCATAGATTTTGCCGCATTATATCTAGCCGATTTTGCTGTAGACTTCGGTGATGGAATGGCTTCTAAGAGAAACTTGTCCAGTTACAAAGAAAAACTGATAAAATCTCTCATTTTCTTTCAAGAATCAACATAAAAATTACCTTATGACCTACGCAAGAGTTTTTTAGTGGGTTTACCCGGGTTTAAATAAAATATCAATAGCCATTTTTTCTGTAGTCTTGTGAAACAAGAATAATATGTATATTAATAATAATATGAAGAAAAAATAGATTAATTTTGTATAACAATTGGAAAATCAACTTTTTTGCTATTATCAATATTTCAGCCGCCTTAGCCATTGAGATAGAAGGTCTTGAGTGTTGTTTCAAGAACAAGTCTACTTTTTAAGATAGTCTTTGTTATGTTATGCTAGAATTTGTGTGAAATTCCTGGGCGATCCCTATTATGAACCACAATCTTGGCTCATGATACAGCGCACTCAATAAGTTAATCAATTTAATGAAAACAGCCTGGTCCCATGGTTATAAACATCAGACAGTTTAGCTATTTACAAGAATCTGACACCAAAGGCAGAATCGAATTCAGTCTAATTTATTATAGAGTATGTGCTAACTAAAAATGACCCAAATTAGAACTCATATAATAGAGTTAGAGAAAATTAATTTTTTAGCCGCAGCATAGCAGTTCATAGAATGACTCTGAGTTGTTGTTATTTTTCAAGTACAATCTTTTAGCTCATAGCTCTGTGATCTCTTAACCGACTGAGTATTACCTCTTGTTGGTTAAAATATCTAGACTATATTCCATCAGGTTTCACTTCAGAGGTCAAGATAGTAGTTCTAGCAACCACAACAATTGTTCATAAGGGTCTGGATTAAATTAATCGTATTATTCTATTTGACATTAAAAGTTGAGTAAATGAAATAAACCCCATGTGTAAGAAATAAGACGGAACTTGTGTATAGCAATTATCATATTAATTAGCTATTTTTCTCACTATCACACAGTGTGGCTAAATTCACAGCATCAATTCTTTAATGTGCTAATACTCAGTTTTCGAGACAACACAAAACTACTTACTATATATTCAGCAATGCTCTTGTATAATGTTCCTATATCAAAATGTAGCATTTTTTCCACTTCTGCTCTCTTTTTCGGGTCGTTTGGGTACAAGCTGTCATTTGTAGAATATTGGTTCCACAGGTAGGTCATAATTGGACGACTAGAAGGTATAATGTATGCTTTTTAACAAGAATAAAATCTTTAGAATAAAACTATTCTGAGAGCATAAAAAGTGAATTTTAAATTACTAGGAACGAAATAAAGGTATAACATTGTCCACATTTTTTTATTAAACATTTTCGATACCCGTTATGGGAAGAGCACAGATAGCCCATTGTGTATCTTTGTGCTTATCTTCAAGCAAACAAAATAAACTTATCTAAAACACTTAGATTACTTTTGTCACATATATTAATTTCCACACATTTGCTATATTGGTTGTACAGGGTGTTAAAATATATTTGGCTTATATGAACCTTGTAAAAATAATAGTTACATGACTTTTCACGGATCAATGAACAAACGGAAGGTTTTTATTAATTTTTATAGTTAATATTCCTAGTGTTAAACTAAAATGTCTTATACAAATATCTATATAATGTGTGCGTGGGAAGCTTTTTAAACTTCATCGACAATGCAAAAAATGAAAATTAGAAGTACGGAAGTACGGACGACGTCACCATATGTGCAGCCGACGTTGCCATATGCGTAAGGGAGGGGTGGATGTAGATAGTTCTACGCATTGCAAAGTGAAAGGTATTTATTTATAGAATGGATCTCATAATCCCATTTCACACAGTAGGGAGCAGTGTTTATATGTTGAGACACTTACAATGCCGGTACCGAAAAACTACTGAGTTGTAATAGTTACTAGTAATATCTAGGTTTTGACAGCATCACTAGATCTAGTGTCTCTCACTAGATATGTCGAACGGTTTGTCATTTTTGATCAGACCATTCAGCGTTTGTACTAGAGATATTTGGTGTAATTACGTATTGTGCAATAGGTTTAACCCACTTAGAATTAACCTCGCAATCATTGAGACGCCCCACACGGCCATCAGATTCGTTCAGAACTCTACATACTTAAACTCATACGTGAGTAGACTAAGCAGATCACTTAACTGTTGTAATTACTTTAAACATACAGTACTGTCTTTACATTTTATAAACTTTGATTCAAATGTAAAATACCACAACTAAAGACATGTTTCCTACGCGAAGCACGAGTTTTCTCCTAGTATGAAATAATAAAATAAGTACATGAATCAGCAGACAGATCTCCGTACACTCTATGGCGAGTTTTCATATTCCCGATGTATCACGCGATGGAATTCGTATTTTTCTAGAAATAAGAACACAGACACATCTAAAGAACTCAGCAACTCTATGGTGAAGCAGCCTAAAGGAAATTTAAAGGCACATTGATGCACGGAATGTTGTTCTCTTGTATTTTCTCAGTATGCAAATCTTAGGACCGTTTGATGACAGAAAACAAGATATCCTCTTAGCTAACATATCTTGTTGCTGATGCAATTTTGTGGTACATACATTATTTTGTGTATACGTATAATCACTCAGAGCACTAGAGCAGTAAAAGTTGAGTCAACAATCAACGTTATTTGAGACTAACATTAGTTCAGGGTTCATCGAAATTGATTTTAATATTTTAAGTTTCGCTTAGTGATAATTTACTACTAGCTTTCTTTTTGTATGAGCGGGTGAAAATGGTATGTCAACAAACACAAAAACGATATAACGAGCGACAATAGTGACATATCTGGTAGGAGTAAATTCTCTAGCGTTAGCTATATGTTTTAAAACTATTGGGTGATTTTTCGTTATAGCATTATTCTCCTGTAAATGGTAAATATGTGAATATATAACAGGATAGGTTTTTAAAACTTTATGTTTGCTTTTGTCATGGAACAGAATGTCGTCATAGCATGTGCAACTTAACTTTAGAAGGATAATCTCTAAAATAGAGATCAACCAGGATGTTCTTAGTCAGTAATTGGAACATTTATATGCACTAAAACTATCCCAGGTGTATGTTAAGAATGTTCTATTTCCTGAAGTTTCTCCTGTCTGTGACTGGCCACGCTTTAAAGAATTTTCTTTTTTGAATTCGCACAAAACTAATTCAGGGATAGCTGTCCGTAATTTAGAAGTGATAGATAGAAGAGAAAGCAGTTTGTCAACACCATCCGCTGTCAACTCTTTCACCAACGAAAAGTGGGATTGGCCGTCACATATATAGCTCTCACGTCTAAAAAAAAAAAAAACATGTTCGGGGCCAGGATTCAAACTCACAATCCGCAGATTGCGAGTCCAATACCCTAAGCACCAGACCATGCCAAGCCTAGGATTTTTGTTTCTTAGGTGAGATCCAAGCCGATATACCCACAGATCTGGATCCCAAAATCTACTACCACGATACAAATCGATGTCTCCTAAACTGGAGATTTAAACGAGAAGACTCCGAAGATGGTCTAGTCTTTCGGTGCAAGCCCTTTGTAACATACTGTAGTCTAGCAGGTATCGTGTATGGTCACACTAACGATGCATCCGTCGGGTTTTTTGTTATCAAGTTGATATAGACGCATTGAATGACTGGTCTACTAGTTCATTCAAGTACGTTTTGGATTTTTCTCGGGTACTCCTGTTTTGCTCCCACGGAAAATTTATTATGTATAAGATCATTCTGATCCCCACCTCATTTCCAACGCTGGGTTGTATTATCCCATTAAGTTCAGTGCGTTAGATCTTATGATCCTTTTATTTTCACGAATGCTTCTAATTATGCCTTCTACACCACTTGCAACCTGGTCTTCAAACTTTAATATCTGCCATGTTCAAACAATTCTCCATCAATATTTTTATCGTTGGAACTAGTTTGAAAAGATCCGAGTCAAGTAATCGCTGTGTGTTTTTATTTTTATTTTCCTATTAGGAAGCGCGTCTTAAGCGTCATTTCTAAATCGATCTCTTTAATTTCACTTCATTTTATTTAATTACTTTCATAGTGGTGTTTATATAATTGACTTAGTTCAGTTTTAT